TTCGATCAGATGATGATAAAACCTTGTCGAAACGTTGTACATTTGTTGTTATGTTAAACTTATATTAAATTTTTCTTCATTACCCATTCAAGCCATCTCCAAGCCTTATGTATATTCTGTATCTTCAGACACCTCTCCTATTCAGATTCATTGAACTATTCCAGTCAGTAGCTGGTTAGCTTTTCTTTGTTGTGAATTTTTTACTTTGATTTGTCATAATCATAAATGTTTATCAACTTTTTTGATGCTCTCATGGCCTTCTCATTTTATGTTCAATTTAATGTCTATTTGACTGATGACTCATTCTTTAGGAACATTAAGTACTTTTGGAGTTATAGTATGTACACCCATATATTAAAGTTTGATCTTCCTTTAAGTTAAATCCCGTGTGAAGCTGGTTTGACAGAAACACAACAGTAGATATATACTATCATTTGATCTTTCTTTAAGTCAATCCCATGTGAAGCTGGTTTGACAGAAACACAACAGTAGATATATATTATAGTTTGATCTTTCTTTAAGTCAGATCCCATGTGAAGCTGGTTTGACAGAAACACAACAGTAGATATATATTATAGTTTGATCTTTCTTTAAGTCAATCCCATGTGATTCTGCTTTAACAGAAACACAACAGTATACATACATTAAAATTTCATCTTCCTTTAACCCTTTACTACCTTGTAACTATGAACTTTAAGTTAGATCCCATGTGAAGCTGGTTTGACAGAAACACAACAGTAGATAAAGATCAAACTTTAATATATATCTACTGCTGTGTTTCTGTCAAACCAGCTTCACATGGGATCTAACTTAAAGAAAGATCAAACTTTAATATATATCTACTGTTGTGTTTCTGTCAAACCAGTTTCATTTCACTTAAATGATGAGTTCTCTCAATAAAGGAGATCTAAAACATACGTATTGGTGAATCTTTTCAGTTCCTAAACACTCACAATACAACATGCAAAGGTTTAATTATGACCTTTAACCTCTAGAAAAATATCACACCCATTATTCATCAAACATGCAGTCACTGACTTTTTAGGTCCACTTGTTCAAAGAGCCTAAATCATATTCCACAACAGTACATTACATGTATACATACATATAAATGGCAGAAGTTTAAACTTTACCTAAATGGTTGAAGTGAGGAGGACAGGGATACACCCGTCCTCTGAAGTCCATGTTGTGGGGAAACCAAAAAACTTTGTTTTCAAACTAATTAAAAACAAAACAGTAAAGGTTTGATGTAAGATCTCACTGAAGTGACAAATATAAATTACATATTTTAGAATAAATAATATAATTATATACATCACGCATCAACTTAGCTACGACGTAAAATTAATCCAAACCTTCCGACAAGTAATTTACCATGATCCTTTTTTAACAGTGTATGATTTTCTTTCAACATTTAAATTTTAAACTGCAGATATTTATTAAATTCACTGTGTCAACCAATAAGAATTGATGTATTTATGTCTATACATAACTTAATGTGTTCTTTAAGCATTCTTGAAAACTCTATATATTTTGGACCAACTGGTTTTTAATAACATATATCTGTACTACAAATTCTTCAAACATTCTAAATAGTAGAATAAAAATATTACTATTTCTAAAATACCAGCAAAATTCTATAACTTCTTGGTGTAAGTACAGCAGAGTTGATCAGTAACAAGAATAAAGATTTGTTTTTAGAAAACTTACATGTTTAGCAATAGAGAGTTTATAAAGAGCATCACACCACAAGCTATACATTTCTCCTCGTCTTCTTTTGATAGCTATCCGTTCTCTATTGATTCTAGCTTTCTCAGTCTTACTGAGGCCTCTACATTTGAAAAGTTTCAATCACAAATAAAAGATCACAAATCCAACAGAAAAATTAATTTAAGAGTTTCACTATGTTAACAATAAGTTGAAAAAAAAAAGACTGATACAATATATTACATTCTTAATACTCATTAGAAACTATTAACAACAAAAAGACATACCAAGAAAATATGATAGTTATATGCTTAACAACAACATATTCAAATATTTGTATTTTAACACACTACACCAGCATTTAAAAAAGTTTTAAAATTTATTATTATATATATATATATATATATCATAAATAATATATTGTACAAGACATGTTAAAACTAACATAAATTAATGTATTTGATCATCGAATTTATTCTGAAAATTATAAATTTAACTTGGAAGTGTTCCTCCTCAATCCTAAATAACAATGTAAAATTTATGCTGACTATTTTTATGTTGGCGAAAGATTGTTTATTTGCATTAATTCCTAACAAACTCTAAATATGTATGTATATATTTACTATATTGGTAATGCTAGGAACATGTAAACTTACGGTATAAGTTTTGGCATAGGTTCACACTCGGAAGGAGGTCTAGGGATACCCAGTTCTACGTTACCTTTATTTCGAAAAACTTCAATAATTAAATCCAATACCTGTGAACATTCAAAAATAAATATTCCTATAAGAATAAACTGAAAATTAACAGTTTACTTGTAAAATATAATTCAAACAGAAATACTTTAAATTAAATAAAGTGATTTTAATGTAACTATTATGATAAACATAAAAATAAAGCCTTGATTTTACAATTTCTTTCCACATATGTTGTTTATACAAGTATCTAACTTTAAAGAAAATTATTAACAAGAAACTCAAATCACAGAAACGAACCATTTAATCTGGATTTTCCAGTTTCTTCCCAGATATGCTTCAGAGAAAAATGGTAAATATTAAAGTGATTATCAAGCAACTAGAATCGCAAGTATAAGCACAACACCAGGTATTTCATGTTTTCTTCCTATACATGTTATCAAGAGATACACTAAAGGTTAAGTAAATCATTGTTAGAAAAAGAAGCAGAGGATCAGATTTCCAAGATTCTTTCCACACGTGTTGTAGAGAGAAATAAATATTGGTGGAATACTTTTTTTCTATGAATGAATAAATAAACTTTAAAAATAAATTTATAATTGTAACAACTGAAGCAAAAAAAATAAAAGCTACAAATATACAAGTATTTTAAAACCATGAAACGTTTGATGATAATTATCACAAAGACTTTTGACTTAACACTATTCTAGTAAAACTATATTATTTTATATAATTTGTTAACAGTGTAAATCAGAATTATAAGTATCTGCAGAACTGATGTATGGTAATTTTAATAAAAAATTATAACAGTTTCTACTTAACAGTTATTTAATGTTAAGTATATATACTTACAGGTTTATTGATAATCCATGGGCATAGTGCTAGCATGTTGAGAGAATCAAAACTAGGGTAGAGTTCTTGAACAGGTGTTTTCTCCAGCAGAAAACGTTGTTGTAGGGCCATGTCTGGCAATCTGATAAAAGATGCTAGATAGAAAGATACATAAAAGTTAATAAAGAGAAAAATAAAATGGATAATCATATAACAAACATATAAAACAACTAGTAGCCATAAAAACAGCAGTGATTCAAAGAGTTTGGTGAAAATCCTGATGGATAACATGAACAATATTTAATTATAACTGCTGAAGTAGAATATTTCATTAATAAAATTATGATGAATTAATTGTAACATAATCATATTAGACCTACAAGATAAAAGTGACAAAGAAAAACTTAACTGTCTAAATGGCACAAAAATAATGTTTTGATTTTGAATTATTTTTATTCAAGTTAAGCTTTTCCTACCTGAACTAGCCACTAATTCATCTATCCTAGTCTAGTAGAAACAATAAAAGTTTTGTGGTAACAACATAATGCAAAAGAATGCTAATTTTTTTCTAAATTATATACATAATCTCAAAACCAATATAATCAATAGAATTTTAAATGCTAGGCCTAATTTGTTCCTCAGAAGTTTCCAATTTTGGTCATCCATCACACAACAAGCCATACTTCTTAACTACTTATCAGTAACTAAATTTTTTATGCTTTCTTTGAACCATTACAAATGAATAAAATGTGATCTTTTGTTTCTACCTCTCTCTCCTTTAAGATCTGCAATATCCTGTATAAAATATTAAAGTACACAAGTGTTACTCCTTAATCTTCAATTGATTGGAAGGGTATAACATTTTTTGTAAAGTTATGATGCTAAAATACCCCCCCCCCAAAACAAATTCAACATCTTATTGCATATGATATGTGTTTTTATGGAAGAGATGGAGTACAAATTTACTGCAATGATATACTATGATTAAAACTTGTAGTATTTTCAAATGAAAAAGTTTCATCTCTAAAAGGTTAAAAGTTTTTATTTCTTCAATGATTTTAAGACTGCAGCATGCAAGGACTTTACAAAACTTAGTTCTTTTCAATAACTCCAGTTTAATTACAAACTAATAATCAAGATTATGTATTATACATTTCTTTCAATTCATATTGTGGGTTGAAAAAGAAAGTTTTGCATTATTTCAACAGTTAAATTTGGGGAATGTTTTTTTTTCTTGTAGGCATCTCCTGCCTTAAATTTGTTGGTTGTTATCAGGGTTCCACACCAAAAATTTCAATTACACAGATGAATTTTACATTAGAGTGCTGAGAGTTTAAGTGATTAAAGAATTTGTTAGTATGTTCATGGTTATGGAAGATTAAGAACGTACATACCTTTTGTAGAGTGTCGATATAACGACAGAAAAACTTGTTCACATGTGCTCATGGTGACAAAGAAAGATATTAGCTAGTGAATGTTCTAGCAATGAAACCATCACAATGCCATCTACTTGGTCATACAACTGACCATTTAAGACAAAGTGGTTTTCTTTTAAAGCAAGCTTTAGTAGTTGTGCAAGTTCCTGTTTGTTTAAGCCAGACCTCAGGCGATCATTACCGGGAAATGGTTTGTTAAGACAGATTTTTTATCATTTCTTCTAAAGGAATGATAGTAAACAGATATTCAATGTCAAAGCTTGCCATAATATATGGGTTAGCATCCAGAAATTGAGAAATTTCACAATTGAAAGAAAAGGAATTTCACAAAAAGAAAAATTATACAAGTTTCTACACACACACTTTGACTGTTCTTTGCCAAAATCATTCAAACAACACTTAGTCATCAAAATAATTATATCAAATAATATCCAATCACATTCCAAATTCTCTCTAACACTTGCTATTCCTTACCTTGGGAAACAAAGTCTCAGTGCCAAAACCCAACTCATTAAGCTACTCAAGTTTTTCTTCATATCAGTAACTTTTTAGAGCTAAAGACATTTTACCTTCACTCTAATGTTCAAAGATCGTATATAAATATAGATGTAAAGCCACCTACATAAGCAAGACTTCTCACCATTTGCAAATATGCACCTTGGAACACATGAGAGTTTCTAACAGAATTGGAATTAAACTTCAAACTTCACCTAACTCTCCCAAAGAAATACCATCACACTCCATTTCAATTCTAACTTATGGATGTAATGATCATGAACTGTTGACAAAAGGAAGTCTACATATCATAAATGAAAATCCAACTCTTGCTTTATTCAAGTAGTTCTCACTCTCTCTCTATATTGAATATTTTAAAATTTCCTGACACTATTGTATATTAGTAACTATACTAAAGAACATTCCTTTCAATTACTATCATAATTTTTGTCTCGTACCACCTGAGTGATATTTTTTCCTCCAGTGATTGTCCAATGGACTATTTGTGATAGCTGTTCATTTGAAAAGTTTTGGAGATGAAACTGGGTTATTGTTTTAAGTATTCAGGGTCACAAGCTGTCTCAGCTATATTCTTAAGTTTCTTATTATGACAGGGTCAAACTAGTACAAACTTCCATAAAATAGCCATTGATGTATATAACCTTTACCTGAGTAAGAAGAATAGTGCATGTTTATGACCTTTCAACACCAGGAGTACAAGGATGTAATTTTATCTATGTGCAGAATATTTACACAAAAATTACATGAATATACCTTACTACGATGTATTCTAAACTAAAGGTTGAAGGATGAAATTAACTGTAATACACATAATAACATAATGCTTGGGGCTAACAAGGGATCTACTGGTCCATCTAGACTGTCCAATCCTCTAAATTAAACTATTAAAAAACCCTCAAAGCCAGCCCTTATGATTCATATAGTTATCAAGCTTTATCTTAAACTCACTGCCTCCACAACACCAGAAAGCAACCCATTCCAAAGGCCAACCAACCTGTTAGAAAAATAAAACTGCCTAAGCTGAAAATGACTCCTACCCTGCCAAAATTTATATTTGTGTCCCATAGTCTTACTATTCTCACCATTTAGTAAGAAAAAAGATAATGCATTAACACTATCAATTTCCTGAACAATCTTAAACACCTCTAAGTCTTCTTTTTAAAAGAGAAAACAATTTCAGAGATCTCATTGCATGACAACCCCTCCATCCCAGGTACCATTCTATTAACCCTCCTCTCAACCCTTTCAAGTAATTCAATGTCTTACCTGAGCCCATGTCTGAACACAATACTCCAAATGTAGCCTAATCAGTGACTTGTACAATGAAATTATAACCTCTTTAGACTTGTATTCAGTATGCTATGTTTCAGGGACACTTTACTGAACCTGATGTATTTTTCTCTTGATTACTTGGTTTGCTATGTTTCAGGGATACTTTACTAAACCTGTTGTATTTTTCCCTTGATTGCTTGGTTTGCTATGTTTCAGGGACACTATACTAAACTTTTTGTATTTTTCCCGTGATTGCTTGGTTTGCTATGTTTCAGGGACACTATACTAAACTTGTTGTATTTTTACCTTGATTGCTGGGTTTGCTATGTTTCAGGGACACTTTACTAGACCTGTTGTATTTTTCCCTTGATTGCTTGGTTTGCCATGTTTCAGGGACACTTTACTAAAATTGTTGTAATTTTCCCTTGATTGCTAATGTCATATATATATATATATACAAGATTACATAAAAAAAGAGAAATAATTATGAAGGGTGTAGACATATATTACAATAAAAATTCTTACTCGGAGAGAGTAAATATCCCCCACTGCGTAACGAGGTCCAAGGCAGAGGAGGTGTCAACATAGGTATAACTCCAACATCAAAAATCAATTCTTCTCTTGCAGCTCCTCTGTATAACTTAGCTAAGATTGGGTGAGGCTAAAATAAAAACAACATGTAAACAATAAGAAGAATAAAAAGGAACATTTTATTTTATTTCAGAGTAATCTGGATACAAAACACAGGAAATGTGAAATACAAGTTATTTAACATGCTCAGACTCACACTAACAATAAAATTTAAGACAAATTGTACACAAAAATGTGTAAGTTTTTAAGATATTCAAAGACATTATTAATCTTTCTCTTTGCACCTAAAGTGTTTGATATCACTAGTATCATAGTTTCAGCTTGGCAACAGAATTGAAGTACCATTCATCATTTCTGTTGTAAAGGTAATCAACTGAGGGGCTGGTTACATGTAGTTTGCTTAATTCTGACTGTCATCAACCAAACATAAATACTTTTCAACCACCCTGATATCACTTGAATGCAGAACCCAGTTTTTTTAATATTGAAAAAATTAATGGTAATAACTTTGTACAAAGCTCAAGTAAATTGAAAGATTGAACACATTCTATATTTCTCAAAGACACACAATTGAAAGATTTTTCTACTGACATAAAAATGTGAAATAATAATAAAGATAATAACAAGTTTAACTGCTTTCAACATTTTAAAAACATATTTCATTGTGTGATGTTTCATAAATGTTTGTTAACAATTACACTAATGGAACAAAGGTGTTAACACTTCTCAAGTGACTATAGCTAACACTAATTATGTTAAAACTACCTAAAATGGTGTAAATTTTTATGTTTTTTTCTGGAGCCAAGTAATTATACACAATTTCTTATGATAAATCTCTCTTTTATGCCAATAACTGGGCTCTACAACAACGTGCAGATATCAGAAAAGCTGAAAATATACCTTTCTCTAAAAGATTACGATGTATTGAAGCCACTTACTAACTGAAGATACCAGTAAGAGGAATGACAAATTGGGCCTTTGTGAATTCTCCATACTGCATAGCCATATCAAATCATGAATAGTCCAGAAAATGTAAATTTCATTACCAAGCAAAGAATTAACATTTTAAAGGAAAAAAATCTGTTAGACAGGACCTTAATTTACGTTCTGAGGACCCTAACAGTGAAATTTTTTTAAGAAAATTAACAAAATTTATTACTTAAAGAGGAAAGTTAAAACTGATTATAAGAATTAAATTAGGTACTTCCAAACAAAAATATAATAAATAATCAAATGAACTAAACAGTGAAAAATGTTTCTAACATTTTAATACTGATTTTAACCATTTAAAATTTCTTACCATATTAACCAACAGTCAGAAAATCAAAAAACAAAAAGTCATTCACTCAATTTAAAATACAAATCTTAGAAATTTAATCAAAAAATGCAATCCAAATCAGGAAATAACAAACCTTAAAACGAAATGCTCTTGAACAACTCTGAAGAAACAACTATCAACATGTGTCATTAGAAGAAGACTAGATACAGTTATCTAGTTTACCCTTTACAAAAGCTTAAGGTTTCTTTGCTAGAAAAGGGTCATTCAAGGTGTGACATTCATTTCTAAAACCCATATTCTCAGCTTTTGATAACTTTTATAAAATAATTAGCTGACATACTTGTTCAACACACAGGAAAGGCATAGGAATCTCTCGAGTGGGGGTTGGAATAGGGCAGTCAGATCCAAACACTAAACCCTCCATTATCACTGTTCATGATTTGATGTCAGTTTAGTGGATCACTAGTTACAAGCAGACACACACACATACATACACAGACATCTGTAAAATCATAGTTTAAGTTTCTTTGTGGATCTGGATGAATGATTTCTTTGGTGAACATCACAATACTTTTTCTTTAGATGTAAAATCTGTTAATATTTTAGGTTTGTTACTAACACACTATATATCTAGTAATTTTATGAGTCCTTAAGTAGAAGGTTAATAAGTTACTAATTAAGTGTTACATTCATTTCAAAAATATTTACATATAATGTCATAAAATAATTGAGACAAACAGTTTATAGCATTTCTTAGGTTAAGGTGAATGCCATTAAATAGATTCACTGTTCCATTAATGTAATCATTGGTCCTTTAGCCTCACAGTCTCTGTACTTAAAGTGGACTTATGTCCAAAACAATACATAATATTTCAATATTAAGCAATTACAGCAATTAAATTCATTATTATTTAACGTTATTTCTATAAATCTAAAACATAAAAACTATGCACAATCTTTTTGACAAATTTTTCGTATATATACATGGTGGAAGTCAAAAATCCTTAGTTCAATATGAGGAAAGTGATTATTTGGTACTTGTATTACATTCTATTATAATAACATGGTTTTTAATTTTGTACCTGACTAATCTGTTTTTAAAATAAATAAAATATTTCAAACCAATTTTATTATGGGTGAAAACATCTCACTTTGACAGCTCAAACACTTTCAGAAGGTTGAATTACCTTCTTGAGGGGGTGGACTGGGAATGAGTAGGAGTTACTGATCTTAAGTGTATCTGTAGTACAGCAAGTCACTACGACAACTCTTTTGAAAGTAAATTTAAGAAATGCCTAACATATATGATTAACATAAAGATGAAGATTTTTGTCATGTATTCAATCATCATCAACAATAAACCTTAATTTTAATCTTCACTCACTCACCTTTATTTCTTCCTTTGTATGAACACCTGTATTTCTAAACATATTGTAAAAAGCAGGAGTCATCTTTCTAGATAAAAAAAAACTAACTTTAAGTTTTCTAAAAAAATATAACTAAATTTAGAAAACAAATAGAACATGCATACATAATAAATAACCTTAACAACTGGTACATTTACAAATATTAGAGTTTGCCTTTTGTTAGAATCACTCTTCCAGCAAACTCAAAGTAAGCAAACAGTATGTGTTTTGTTATCATAAATTCATTTCTGCCATAAGACTACATGAACATTATTATAATTTTCCTTTTACTTTAAACACCTAGTCTCTATACTAAAATGTATGAAGATTTCCATCAGTAACATCACTTCTAATGCATCCTCCTAACCAAGAACAAATAAACTGTTCAAGTTCAATACAGAACCAACTGTGCCTGCATTCAACTAACAGAAAGATGGCATGATTTTGCTGCCTACAAAGAGAGAGAAATTAATAACAGAAGTAATTTTAAAAATAAATTCTGATACTTATGTCTATTATATACTAAATTTCACAAAATTATAGTTCTATAATCATAAGGATAAATTGCTGATGGAAGCAAGGAATACTTTTAAATAGAAAAATCTCTATGTTGTGTTTTGATCTGAGAAGTTTACTTCCATTGACAGCAAAGTTTTTCTACAGCATCGAGTTAAATGAAATATACAAATCTGTTAAAAAAGGTGATATCTTCACATTTTAGTATATATTCATATTAATTTGTTACTGAGGTATTCTCAGATAACATTGAAACTGACAAGTATCAAGAAGTGTGGTAAATTAAGGATAAACCTTGTACACAGTTGACTGATCTCTGCAACAACTAGAGATTTAAGTACCCAGTATGTGAAAAGTCTAGTGTAGTGATTTTGCAGTTGCAGCAGAATTAAAGAAGAGATGATAATGTTCAAAAGGAAAAAATAAAATGTTTTATTGCTGAAAATAAAAATGGCTGATCAGTAAGTGGTCAGAATATTGTGATATTACATAGTTGAAATATATCAATAACTGTATTAAGCTAGAAAGAAATAAAGATAAAGGAAAACTATATTTAGTCAAAGATAATTTAAAATAAACTTTCCTTAAAAGTATGCTACAAATAAAACACATGACTAACCATGTGAAGAATGTATGAAACATCAGAAGTCAGTCTATGAAAAGAAAGTACACCAAAACTCTTGTTTAAAATTCAAATTAACACATGACTAACCATGTAGAAGAATGTATGAAACATCAGAAGTCAGTCTAAGAAAGAAACTACACCAAAACTCTTGTTTAAAATTCAAATTAACACATGACTAACCATGTGAAGAATGTATGAAACATCAGAAGTCAGTCTTAGAAAATAAACTACACCAAAACTCTTGTTTAAAATTCAAATTAACACATGACTAACCATGTGAAGAATGTATGAAACATCAGAAGTCAGTCTAAGAAAAGAAACTACACCAAAACTCTTGTTTAAAATTCAAATTAACACATGACTAACCATGTGAAGAATGTATGAAACATCAGAAGTCAGTCTTAGAAAATAAACTACACCAAAATGCTTGTTTAAAATCAAATTCTTTCTGTAACCAATCAATAAGAATACTGCAGAACAAGAATCTGGAGGAAACTCTGCTCCACATGACAGTTGTAACACAACCTCTAAACACAAGGTCAAATAGGATAACATACAACTAACCCATAGGACAGCAGAATGTAGTACATATCCTTAACTGGATTTAGAATGTTCTAAATTAGAACTCAGAACAATTTAAATATTTTGTAGACATAAAATATATGAGAAAATGAGTAATAGATACATACTACAATAGCACGAAGAAGAAAATTTGGACCAAAGTAATTAACACTGAGCATAGTTGTTTAATGGTAACAGCACTGACAGAGAATATGGTACATGAAAGTGTTGTCAGAATACAAAGTCTCTACATCTGCAATTTCTGGCCAGCTTTTCTGGTTAACAACTGGAAATGTAAGCCAAATATGACACCTAACTTCAATGAATGCAATGAAGATTCTGACCAAGTGCTAACTTAGCTTAGAAGTACATCCAAGTCCAAGCTCTGCCAGAAAGCTAGTCATCACCCATGTCTGGGAATCAGTCTCATTATTGAAATAGAGAAACCAAGGATTCCAGAATCTTTATTACTGTAAATGTAAAGCACATCAAGTGCCATGAAAAAGAAATTAGACTCATCTAGTGTACTGGCCACATAAAGAGACTGACACTAGGCTTAACCACAAGTGACTACCTAAGGGTAAGATTTAATGTACTTTACAGTTTTCAGAAGTTAATTTTTTTAATACTTCTATGCACTCCTACATTTCAAGTCTATGACTTTTACAATGAAAATTGATATTTTTACCCCTCCAATTTTAATTTCCATCACAGATTTAAAAAATAAAATACTTCATCAGTTTGATTATATGGCAATCTTCGGTTCCTTCACTGAAACCCACATGATTACAGATATTTCATTTTAAAAATAAAATACTTCATCAGTTTGATTATATGGCAATCTTCGGTTCCTTCACTGAAACCCACATGATTACAGATATTTCATTTAAAAATAAATAGAACATACTCTTTATCAACATCAAGTAAAAAAAGAACTTGTCTAATTACTCTCTATTTACTGCAGTAAACACATTCCACACATATCAATGTTCTGGCAAAGTTTTTACTGCATGAAATTTTTTTTTAAACTTAAATTTGTAGCCAGAACACAAGACTCATGAAATAATTCATATATGTACATTGCCATGTGATACTTATATATATATTACCATACAATATACAGAGAAACATCACATATCAAGTAAATATGTGTACCTAATATATATGCAAAAATATATATGAAGATATATGTCAGACTGAAAATATTATATGTTCAGCAAACAGTGATAGACAATGTTCACCATCATAGCTGACTTGTAACACTAGTAGCTGTGTCACCTGCTACCACACTGCTTAAAGTTCTATGCACATACATACAAGAAGTATCAGGAAGTATACCATGTTAAGGTCTGCCAATGTTTCAAGTGTTCCATCAACAGTCATGCTGCCACAAGTAGCCTGAAAATATTTTATCCAAAAACTCCACTTGATGATTCAATGAACAAAGGTTGTGTCAACTCTGGAACTGGTAGTAGAATCAGATGGAAGAGTGATCACAATAAATATGGTTGAGATAGAAACAGATCAGCTATTAGGATGTAGCCATGAATGGCTAGAGCCCTTACGTTCTGTGTTGTGGAGCGGAATTCTGCCACATATCTACGGGCAAGTTACCTGGTGTGTTTGAAGTTGCAGGTATTAAGATGGAGAAAGGAATTTTCTCCTCTGACTGTGTTCCATCCTGATAACTGATCTGTTTCTATCCTAACCATTTTTACTGTAATCAATCTTCTGACTGGTTCTACTACCAGCTTTTCCATCTCTAACTGGTAACATCATATGACAAAGTCCTCTCACTGTCTTCCAACTCATCACTCTCTTACAAATATAGGATGAGAAATTCATCAGTGACACATGGCTTTACCTTATCAGGGGTATAAAATCATTTTTTCGATGTGCTAGTATGCATGAGAAATACACTAGCCTGAACTGAAAAATTCTAATAGCCTAACACATTACTTCCACTATAATAATAATTAGATTATTACACTTTGCAAATATCTACATAGGCTTTACCAGCAAAAGAAAAAAAGGCATGTGTCAGCAACATGAAGACACTAAATCTCTGTACTTCCATCTCCTGTCCAGCTTCTCTGGTTAAAAACTCAGGACACAAGGCAAATCTGAGAAGAAAAAGACGATTTCTGCCATAAACTAACTTCATTTGGAACTATTATAAAGTTCCAGTCCAGACAGGACTTCATATCACTCTTGGATTAAAGTATAAAATCCAGAAGTATTTCTTTACAAAAAGTATGACTGACTTTTTACACATTTCTTCTTGTAAAAGTTGACATTTTCATGGCTTAGTTTAAAGAAGACAAAAAAGGGCCAGTGAGTTTCCTTGAAATAGTGCTATAACTTCAAAAATTGAACCAGTTATTGCAGTAATAAAACAAATTATTTATGCAACCAAAATAGACAAGGAAAGAAGGCCTAAACTTATTAGCTATTATTCATTTTCAGTTTATTACAACCTAGATTCTTGCTTTCAGTTTAGTCTTCTTGGTGTGAGATTTCAAAATCAGGAAAGTTAGGGCAAAAACAATCTGATTCAGAAGTACTCTTGGACCTAAATTAGTACTTAGCAGTCCTTATTCTAGTGTTATTACTATTGGTTGTAGTCTAGTCATGTATCAATCTACATAAATGGGTATTGAAATAACTTTCACTA